TATTGTTATTATCAAATTGAACAACTGCAAATAGCAATAACTTAATTCATGTGATGTATGTACTTTCTAGGCATCTTTGGTTTCCTCTTTTTGTGTAATTTAAATGGTAAATTGTGCCTTTTTATCGTTTGAGTCACTTATCAAAAGTTGCTAAAAGCTGCCAAATAAATAAAAAAAAATAGCTAAATTTGTTGCTAGGTGCTTTTGGAAGAAAAAGTTGCTAGGGTAGTCTGAAAAGTTGCTAAATTTAGCAACAAAATTGCTAAATTGGCAACACTGGATGGGCGTGTGTCATCAAAGTACTGCGAGAGCTATTAGAGAGCGGACGTTTCTCTCGCCGTACTTTGATGTCATACACCGATCTGATCTTCAAGTGGAACACACCTCTTTACTCTCGCCTGTCACATGACCGAGTGTAATCGCAGCCTCTGCATTGAAAAATAGCGGTTTTTTCATATCGCGATATTATCGCAAATGCAATTAATTGTTCAGCCCTAAATGAAGTGCACGGATAAATTATTTACAATAAACACTACAGTATTCCATTATAAAATAAGAATTTTCAATTTTGATTTCATGGTAACTTTAAAGTCAGAAAAGTCCATTCAGGAAAAGCAGTGGGTAACACCGCAAATATATATTTTTTATATTATAAAATTATATAATAATAATATGATATTATATAATAATATAATACTATAATAATATAAAAAATTGTATAATAATGACTGCACGTTTTGCATGTCTTCTTAAAGGGGTCATATGATGCGATTTCAAGTTTTCCTTTCCAACCTATGTATTTGCACAGCTAATAGCGAGAGTTTGGGGCGTGGCTACTGTAGCTCAGCCAGAGTGTGTTTAGCCGGTGTGGAAAAAGAAATTCAGATTCCATTACAGAAGTGCAAGCCAAAATTCAAAGACTTGACAAAATACACAAAGACACAGAAGGTATGCTAAACTTCAGGTTAAAAGTATTCCTAACATGTTGGACCTTTTATTAAAAGTAGCCCATTTTACCTGTTGAGAAATATGTGCGAAACGTGATTCCGTTTCCCCGGGATTTAGAATGATCCATGGTTAACTATTTCAAGTGTGAAAAGCCCTATTATGTGTTAAAATAAATAAATAAAAAACCGTTTGCTGCACTGCAAAACAAGCTCTCATAATATTGAAGAGTGAAGGTTACTGAACACAGTTCTAACAAACAGTTATTTTTGAAACACTCCAGTTTACGTTGATCAAAATGTGAAGTGTAAAGTTTGCTCATTCTTTACAGCTATTTTTCACCAGGAACTTGTGAGCTGCTGATTTAGAAATAGAACAGAATGTGATGTCAACATCTCATTTCCACTTTCCACTGATGATTTATCACTGATGACTTTACTCACGCTGGATTAATGATTAAAAGTGCACTGAATTCTTGTAAACAACGTAATGAACAACACCAACTACTGCAGTTTAGTCTCGGACATACACGGTGCAAATATAAATGTGTTAAGACTATAAGCAATATATTTGCACAAAATAATTCAAACAAGTTGTCTGTGTAAATTCGTATCAGGCTAAAGCAGCAACATCCTTATACAAAGACCCTGTTAGTCAATAACTACATCAAAATTAGCCCTCCGAAAATGAGAGGAAATGTTATGGTGAATGAGACGGAACTCATGCTAGCCAAGACTGCAGAAATATTTACATTTAAATAATCATACATTTAAATAATCAAAATATAAATAAATAACTAGATATATACGCTTTCATGGCGCTGCGTTTTATTTACACAGAACTAAAAGCAGCACCTGAGTCGGTTTAGAGCAGCCTTAACCAGGCTGTGCAAAGGACAGCTACTGAAAATTAATACCATTCATAAATGTGACCATGGACCACAAAACCAGTCATAAGGGTAAATTTTTCAAAATTGAGATTCATACATATAATCCGAATGCTGAATAAATAAGCTTTCCATTGATGTATGGTTAGCAAAGGACAATATTTGGCCAAGATACAACTATTTGAAAATCTGGAATCTGAGGGTGCAAAAAAATCTAAATACTGAGAAAATCACCTTTCAAGTTGTCCAAATTAAGTTCTTAGCAATGCATATTACGAATCAAAAATGAAGTTTTAATATATTTACAGTAGGAAATTTACAAAATATCTTCATGGAACATGATCTTACTTAATATCCTAATGATTTTTGGCATAAAAGAAATATCTATAATTTTGACCCATACAATGTATTTTTGGCTATTGCTACAAATATACCCCAGCGACTTGAGACTGCTTTTGTGGTCCAGGGTCACAAATGTCAATAGTAAACACAACTGCATGAACAACGCACGAAAATATTAAATCCCAACAACCTCACGAAAGCAATCGTCCATTAAACAAACTGCGAGAGTGCAATCGAGAGACTGTTGATCAAGTAGAAAATGTATAAGACGTAGTAAATGAGAGTATATATTACAGAAATATTTGCAAATGGGTCACTCATCCAATGTCGCCGACGTGTCGCTAAGGATACAGAGAAGAGTTATTTCTACTGGTCAGAGCAGGGAAGGAGCGTAAAGAGTATTTCTGTTAACCAGATAATGCTTGCATAGAGGAGGATGACATATATTGGATGATATATACATAGCCTTCAATAAAACATAAAGTGGATAGATGCTTTCAAAATAATCAAATATGAAAACTGACCCTCTCCATGGTGCTGAAATGATGCTCTTCACTGAACGACTCCTTGTCTCCATACTGTCCTTTCCCACCAGTTGCATGATAAAGCTAAAAACACTTCAATTTACGTCTATAACACTTCTGATGCATGTTTAGGGGGAGAAGTGTTCACAATGGCAATAAGAACCAAACACAATATGCAAATCTTCTCAAAAAGGGATTTTAAAATAATGGCACGTATCTATATGAAACCATCTTAAACGTGATCCCATATGACACATAATACACTACATTGCCCACGAGTAGAAGCATTTGTTGTACTGTATGTAAATAAATGTGGCCACATTTACAGGCCTAAACGACCAAACCAATGCACGTCTGTGCACAATGAAACTGACATTCTTTCAAGCGATTTTCATGACATTTTCTTTTCTAGCGACATTCACACCTACCGTATTTGCCTGCCAACCCAAGCTGGCAGAATACGGACATCAAAAACAGGGCTCTCCATACTCGCGGATGCATCATGTTAACTATCCACGGGATTGAAGTCAGCACGCGTTGTTTTATCGCCCTCCGTCAAGAATTTAAATCCACATTTTGTCTGCTCGTAGCACAAGTGATGGACGCGTCAGGTAAGACAACTTAACTGTAGGCTTTCGTTTTAGGCAGTAATAAACACACAGAGACGTTAACGAATGTACTGAATTTCTGGTGCGGATCTGGAGCGGGAATCACGATCTTCCTTCATCGGTGTGGTGGGGACCCGCAGTTACGTCATAGGGAAACCAGGAGGTTTGTGAAGAGTCTTACATGCAAAATGAAGGAAAGGGGGCTAGAGCCTATACATCTGGCTCCTGGTTTACCTATGAAATGAAAGAGTGGGCAGGATGTGTGGCTGTCTGTTAGTTAGCATTGACTGCAGAAGATGATGAAATCCTTCTGTTGGTTATTGTTTTCCTCCTCCCACGAAGAGACTGAGGTGAAAAGGAAAATGACATCACATATCACTGAGGAAAGAATTGATATCAGATGAATATGAGGTAAATCCATGTCCAATGACAAATGCTAATTGTTACTCACACCTTTATTTGGAATCATACAGAAACGTGTTTTCTGTGTTCATTTCCGAATATGGAATGTTTAACATGATGGCAATCATTTTGTGCAGTAGCAGTGCCAGTGGGCTGAGTGGCCATTTGAAATATAATATCACACTTGGGGTATTTGTATTAAATTGCAAAGTTTCTGTTGTTTAAAAAGGATATACAAAGTCCTATATTAGGCTTACAGCTGTCAAACATGTGACAAATGAACATTTATTGTATATTCCGCTATGTGTGCCATAGGAATCCACTGTCAAAAGAAAACCAATGTCATACTCCGTCATCATTACGTCACCGTAATCTACCACCAATTGAGACAGTAACAACAAAACACGTCATTTTTTACAAGGCGGTGCACCCGATTAAGCTGAGCTGTGGTGCCACCAACTGTCCGCATATTGTCAGTGCAGTATTATTCTTATACATTCTGGTATTATATTTTATGAGCATGGCTTTGCCATTAGACTGTTACAATACGTTTAAAATAGTGACCATATGATGCACAATATTTAGCTCCACAACAAAATGTTTAAAAAAGTATTTTTTCCAAACTATCCAAAATATTTTGAGCAATCGTTCTCTTGATCTTTGTTTTTCCTCTTAGTTTTGCTATGACTGTAAATGTGAAGGTCTAATGAAATGTGGCCTCCAGCTATATATGTAAATGTTTTATAGAGAGGCCCTAGCATACTTAAAATCTTTCAATATCTGTCCCAAAATCTCGCCATGTTCCCCTTTACCCCCACTGCATGGCATTTCACCTTGGTGGAATCTGTGTATGCCTGTTTGGTAGGTTGCTAAGGCAGCCAGAGGGAGTTTTTGAAAGGCGACCTACTGGGCAACTCCCACCACTTCCCATAACCCCTACCCATTTGTGGTTTCACGTGTCCTGGCATTTAGACACCACATTAGCAGACACTATGTTTTAGTTACATTTCTTATTCAGTGACTTAATAAAAACAAAGCAATTAACAAAGCGATTTTCTTTAGATACTATAAGTAATGTATTTTTTATGGCACTGTCATCTAAAATATAAACAAGGAAACTAAATTTAAACTTAGTTGTGTTTATTGTCTCATTTTATATATTTATTTCAATTTAAGGAATTAAAAAACTATGCAAGTTACTTAACCGATAGACATCATGGCATGCATCTTTATTTGAATAAATAGATTTGACAGCTGTTATTGAAGCACTGCTGAATTTCTGTTGTGGTTACATGGCAACATATACTCCATGTGTTTTGACCTTGTCAGAATTCATTTTTAAACTATCATCTTCCCACCTGACACGTGCCTGTCCCAGAATTGCTCTGTAATCCAGGAATTTTCAGAGGCTGCTCTCATGATGTGCTGAAAATAAATTTGATTAGGATTAATGATGAAACACTGTGATGATGAAACACATTTGTCAGATTAAGTTCAGTTCTTAAATGGTAATGTTGCTGTTTTTGATCAGAACATCTAACCTTTCAATGACTACCCTTTCCATTAGAAATATATACTCACACAAACAATAAACAGGACTAAAAGGTTTTCAAAATAATTGAACTATCTGTGTCAGTCAATGTTAGTATAATAACATACAATTTATCGAAACCAAATAATTTTTAAGTTTCATAAATTTTTTTCCATACAATTATTTTGTGCATTTAATTTTTTTATTTCACCACAACCTGTCAACCTAGAAATATAAATGCCAGCCCGTCCCCAATCCCCAAGAGGCCCTTAGGAAGCAGCCTGGTGATGGGGTTCAGATTGGAAGTCTATTAATAACTATGACAGCAGCTGTGGAGTAACATGGGCTTCTCAGACACTATGGTTAGCCTGGGGAACAGGCAGAACTTCGGGGGCTGCAGTGACAGAGATTGTATTTGGTATATTTGATGACACAAATACACAGTTACATTACTTCCCAGGTGTAATGTAGGAGTTTATGACACAAGAAAAACAAATTAAGAACATCCCATCATTGAAAGGATGATGTGGTATATCTAAAATATGAAGCCCTCCTCTCATGACTGCATACTATTTTATATAGCTGAAGGCATTTAAAGGCAAATACATTAGATGAACTGACAATTCAGGGAAATACATTAAAAAAATATGCAAGAGCTCTATAATTAAACTCATACTAAACTGGGCATCATTTAGCATTATTTTTAATATTATTAAAGTAAAAGCAAGAAGTGCATATTTAATCAAAACACTCAAAATGTCACAGGATTAATTATTTAGGATGAGGTTGTAATTTCTGTGTTTAACAAAGCAAAACCTAAATAGGGGATAGTTCACCCAAAAATGAAACTTCTATTATCATTTACTCACCCTCATGTCAACCCCAACCTGTATTATTTTCTTTCTTGATTTTTTGAAGAGTCCATTTAAAAAAAAACGTACAGTAACACTGGGTCCCATTGACCTTCACTGTATGGACAAAACAAAAAACACAGAGCTATTTTTCAAAACATTGTATTTTCTGTTCAACAAAAGAACAAAAATCATACCTTTATTCCAGATACCACAGAACCGTTTTGAGTGAAAACAGCATTAGATGCATAAACTCAGATCGATATGACACGGCCTTTGATCAATCAGGTCCAAAAACAAATACAAAACCAATGCTAATTGAAAGAAAGTTGATAAAAAGATTAAATCCAATATCTGATGATATAACATAAGAAATTTATAAGCAATGATTTGTAGGCCAGTTATTTTTGACATGGAACACCACAAGTATAACAAGGTGGGGGAAAAAATCCCAACCAAGTACAAAAACTATAAATTTTTACTTGTTATTCCCTGTGTGAGAAAAGTCAATAAGATTTAGTTAAATGCAATAACATTAACTTCTGTAGGGGAAAAGAAAATCCTCTCCAGGTCAAAATGACCGGAATACACCATGAGGGTTAAATCTAATTTCAGATTCAAATAATATTTCAACTAGAAGGCTTAAAAGGGAAGTATTCTTTAGTTATTTGTGCAAAGGTGAAAGCCAAAGTTTGGAAATACGTTGAAAAGAAAACTATAACTTCATCATAAAAATGGCGACCCTTTCATATTCCGTGGATGTTAAATAAGCCAAAACCCCATGTAGAATTATCAATGCAATATTATTTTTATTCTGGTAAAAGAGCTCTTCCTGGTAAGCATCCTCTTGTGCAAAAGAAATGACAGCACATTCTATGTGACCTGTGCCACCTCATGCCTCATCCATTTGCTCCACCCAGCTGCTGGAAACCAGACCTCTGACATGACAGCTGAGGAAGCAAGGTTTAGAAAAGAGAGAGAGAAGTGGCGACCGTGTGGGGGGATAACAGTGACAGAAAAATGTGGGTGGGGGCAGATGGGGTGCTAGCTACACTATATATAGTCCAGCTTTGCTGCTTGACCCTCATTCTACCACACAGCCTTAAGCGAACCGGCATTTGCACACCGTACAAACCCAGTCATGAGCAGGGCATATTCAGCTTCAGCCGAGACGGCTTCCTCTTACCGCCGTACCTTCGGCTCCGGCCTGGGCTCCTCCATATTCTCTGGCCGTGGAGGTTCCTCTGGATCCTCTCGTGTGTCCTCCAAAGTTTATGAGATGACCAAGACCGCCTCTTCTCCCATTTTTTCCAGCCACCGTGCATCCAGCTCTTCATTTGGTGGTGGAACAATGGTCCGTTCCTATGCCGGCCTTGGAGAGAAGCTGGACTTCAATCTGGCCGACGCCATGAACCAGGATTTCCTCAATACACGCACTAATGAGAAGGCAGAGCTGCAACATCTCAACGACCGTTTCGCCAGCTACATCGAGAAGGTGCGCTTCCTAGAGCAGCAGAACCAAGCATTGTCCGTGGAGATTGAACGTCTGCGGGGCCGCGAGCCCACGCGCATCGCAGAGATGTATGAGGAGGAGATGAGAGAGCTGCGCAGACAGGTGGATGCACTGACCAATCAGAGGTCCCGCATTGAGATAGAGAGGGACAACCTGGTTGATGACCTGCAGAAACTAAAACAGAGGTGAGACCTTCAAGAAATATTTAGGGCTATGCATTTGAGCTTTTTGACCTTTCGATTCATTCAGGTTAATTTACAGGCTAATTTTCGATTCATTCAGGTTAATTTTCTACTAAATGTAGATTGACAGCTTTGTGCTCATCTTCACTGAAGTTCTAAATAACAGGATATTGCCATAGTGACTTTTATGATATAGTATACTCTTAAAAATAAAGGCTTTTTATTGGCATATATGGTTCCATGAAGAACCTTTAACATCCATGGAACCTTTCCATTCCACAAAAGGTACTTAAACATTCTTTAGATTATGTTCTTCACACTAAGTAAAAATATTCTAGTAAGAACTGTTCACTGAAAGGTTCTTTGGGAACCAAAAATCCCCTTTTAATACCTTTATTTTTAAGTGTGTATGTGGGTCCAGGAAGAAGGCACAGTGTACTGGAAGTCATGATGGAGCATGTGACTCATGTACGTCATTGAATTGGGAACTTGGAAAAGGATACAGTATTATTAGACATCTACCTACTATTCCTAACTGTTAAACTTCTCCCCAAAACATTCTAGAACAATATGATTGGTATGCATTCAGGTTCTCCAACAATGACATCATGATCAGATTTCTAAAACACAAGCACTAGACATGAAATGGAGACCACACAGGAAAGACAGAGGTCAGGACCACCTCAGACATAAAGACAACTGGAATGCAAGAATGCTTATGTCAGATACGGTAACCGCAAACAGCAACCACTGGTGTAACTCATGTCTGTGTATGATGTTGGAAAG